CTCTTTTGTGAAATTAAGAGGTTTATAGGTGAAAATTGTAAATTTAGAAATAAGTTTTATTTTTTCCTTTGAACTGAGTTCAATACGTGATTTTTTTTATTTCTTTAAAAGCATTTGTTTTTTAACAATTACAGCAGATGCAAATAATGTTCTGAGAGATAATTGAAAAACAATGGCCATTGAATAACATTTTTTGATAGTAGAAATAAAAGTTTTAAAAACGTTATTTCACTAACAAAGTAGAGGAATGACATACAGTATACAGTACTTTAACTACCAAAATATGCAACTCATAGATAACCACAAACTTCACTTTTGTTAAATATCAAATGAATTAACTTTACATGCTATAAACAATGCAAATAAACAGTAGTTAAAGCATGTGGATCAATTGTGTGTTACAGAATTTGATTATTGGGGAGATTCCTTTTAAAAACTAAATTAGTTAAGATAAAAAAATGCATATAATGACTCAAGAAAATCAGTTTTAATTCAGAATTTGATTATTGGGGCCATTTTTACCTACCTGTCATATGGGGCCATTTTTACTGGGGCCATTATTTCCGGGGCCATTTTTTCCGGGGCCATTTTTTCCGGGGCCATTCTTACCGTACACCTATTATGTGTATAATAAATAATTTATTGACAGTCTTAGAAGTACCATAAAGATATTGATAATTCATTAACATTTATCAAGCCAACAAAGTGGCTATAATACAAAGATTGTAGTGGTTCTCTAATATTATCCAATAATAGTCATGTTCTGAGGACCCTATAAAAAATAGAGGCCGAAGGAGCCATTATTTCCTGAATTTTTGAGGGTAATAATATACAAGATACTACAAATTTAAAGTAGAGCAGTCACTCAAGGAAGACAAGATATACTGTACTTGCTTTCAGCAATGCAAGACTATAGTATACAATACATGAAAGTATACAGTTGCCTATACATCCAAGGTCTGTAAACATGGCTTACCTCATTGGTTTCAGATGCATTTTTCTGAGCCAATAACTTGGCTTCTTCAAGTTCTTTTTGAGCCTGGGCTTCCAGAGACTTGGTTATCATTCTCACAGCCTCATTTCGGATCTCAGCGTCAGTCACCTTTGGCTTGAACCTGACACAAACTTGTTGCTTCTGTGGACAGTAACTTTGCTAGTTAAAATATGTCTGTCTTATATAGCACTTCATGCACAAAGCCTCTAAGCATTCCTACTCCAGTCATTGGATCAAACACATATGGAACACATACTCAGCTCCCTGAAGAGAATTCCATAATATTGCAGCTAGTAATCAGCGCAGTTGTGTTCAAACCTACCAGGTACCCACCTGTACTCCTGGGTGGAGAGAGATAACCGTAGATAAAGTGCCTTGCCCAAGGACACAACCAATTTGCACAGCGAGAGTTTTGAACCCCCCAACCTGAAGGTTGGGAGTCCAAGCAACAGCCGATGCGCCAACCCTATAATAAAACTAACAGTTCAAAGTACAGTATTTAATAAACAAAGAGAGCAGCTCAGCTCAGTCGGCTAATCTGGTGGTAGCTACTGTGTGTGCGTTGAACCGTGGAGATATCTAGGTCCCCAGTTTAATTCCCATCGCAGCCTCTCCTTGCGTTCCTTGTGTTTCAGCTGCAGGGCTGAAATACAAGTTACAATAGCGCACCGTTTTTCAGATGAGACGTTTAAGCAGTTGGTCCCGTTAGCAATTATGGCCCATGTGCATGTTAAAGAACGCAGTACACTCTTTGGAAAAGAGTAGAGGATTGTCTCCTGGTGTTCAGTACTGCACAATCACCACCAGAAGGACCCCACTGGAAATAAATCTTCTTCTAGCCTTTCGTGGGCTATCCAATCCAATCCAACAGCAATAAGATATAAATTAGTTAATTAGGGTAAATAGACGATGCTTTATCATTTTATATTGAATTAGTTAGCCATCACATGATTCATTCCTAAGCGCTCACATTGTTTCAAATGCTCTTGACTAGTCATTCTTGACTATGTCAAAGGTCAAAGCACATCAACAATTGAATGACTATGATCGCCTACATTTTTATATTAACGTATTAAAGAGTAATGCAAATAGAAATTGGCTATATATAACCGTTATCTTCAACCTTGTCTAGTTGAAATTGCATGACTTTGTTTTACTATTAATAATTTATATTATGTATTGTTATTAGTAAATAAAGAATACTGAATATTGATAAATAATGAAATTACATTTACAGTACCGATAGTTCGCTAGTAAAAGAGATCATAAGATACTAGCATGTTAAAAAGAATACTGCAATGTGCAGTGTACATACAGGTAGGTCAAATCTACTTACACTGCCAGGGTTGATTGTTCCAACAACAGGTGATATTTCCAAGGGTACATTCTCTGGAATAATGAACTCAAATGACGTTGGTCCAACAGGAGCAATGGACCCCTTGCCGATCCTAGGCACCGGATGCGTGAACTCATTTGCACTGGTGTGGGAGTTAATGACACTGAGAGTGGCTGTGGATGAGTCACCCAGAGCAGTGGCTGCAAAATGGATGACAGAGTGGGAAAGTTCCAATGGGGGGTGAACTCCTACTGCTTTACACTTAATCTTGAAATCTCTGTGTAGGAAAATTAAATATGAAAGAATAATTGCTCTTGATATTAATTAACATAAAAATAGTCACAAATTGACATCTATACATTTTTTGAAGTTTGAATTTGTTTCACTAAATTGTAATAAAATGCTCTCAATATATTCTTCAATAGCTTTTACCATAATCAAGGCAAATTTCTGGAAGTAGGTCAAATCGACCACAAGTCAATTCGGCCCCAACGGCTGTTCTGTTGCAAAAGAATGTAACTTGGAATTTAGATTTTCCAAGAAAAATAGAGTTAGAATTTGTAACTTGGCAATAAATTGTTGTACCCTTCTGAAATTTTGCAGGGCTATGTATCTACAGACAATATGATTATATGTAAAATTTTAATTACAAACATTGGTTAATTGCAAAGTTATTTACGGTATTTACAGATACATTGTTTTAACTCGGAAACATGTCAGTTGCTGTAATGCTGCAACTGAGACATATTTTTTGAATTTATCACATCTGGGCCAACCATATGCATTATCAAGCTTGTGCATACGTCGTTAAGATTAAACCAGTTAAATTTGCTGTGCCAAAACTCCATCAGCTTAAATAATTTTTGAATACTTTCCAAGGCAAAACAATGTCTTCATCGTAAAATGTCAGTTACGTTTTTTTGCCTCAGGACAGCCGACAAATCAACTCAGCCCCAGTCAACTCGATCCCATGTTAACTCGGCACCAAGTCAACTCCTCATGGGGCCCAGCTGAGTCAACTTGTGGCTGAGTGGACTTGAGGTCGAGTTGACTTGGTGCCTAAATGGCTTGGGGCCAACTTGAATCAAATTCAAATCAAGTGGGAATACCTATCCCGATTTTATGAATATTCTTCAGCAGTCAAGTTCACGTAACTGATCATATCTTGCATGCAAGCAAGTTCACATTCTATTGTACATTACATTATTAAGTTCAAAGTTCATTTTGGCTGATGATTTCAAATTTCTATGCATATTTAATTTCATTACTAGCCTGATTGCATTAAGTTTATTTATGATGATGCTTTTGCTTGCCAGGTCAAATTCTTAGGCTAATTCAACATTCAATTTCAAGTATGTTTACCTATTTATGCCTGATTTACATGTAAGTTCAAAGCTGTAGTCTTTTGCCTTCTTCGCTTTAAAGATGACATCTAATTCAATGGTTTCCAAAGGTAAGAGAGTTCCAAAGCCATCATTGGGCTGAACATCAACATACTAAAATGAAAAATGAAGACGTATTAATAGTACAACTGATAAAAAAACAGCTTTATATCACTTTTGCGCTATCAAGCCAAAACAAACACTGGTGTGACACCGGAGCCAAAACCCATTTACAATTAACATAGTAACTGTGGAATGATCTCGAGTTACACCCATTTACACTTGACAATGAACAACGGCTGAACACCGGTGTTGAACACTGCCCTATTGATATTTTTTAGGAAAACTAGCTCATTAGTCTGCAATCAAGTTTAGTTTCGCAGGGGGGAAAACATTTTAATTTATCTGTACACTAAACCCGAATTAATTTCTAAATAAAAATATAATCCGACAATACATTCATGTTGTGAACAGAACGTTAACAAAAGTGAGACGGAAGTCGGAGCTTTAAGTTTGTTGGTTTATGTAGTTTATTTAATTATTTTTCATCATTACTTTACGTATGACATTCAGTACGTTGTTATTATTTTCAACCAACAATTAAATACGGGAGAGTAATGTGGTTACGTCATCAACAAGCTGCTGAGTGAATCATACTTTTGATCGTAACTGGCCATGCGTGAAATCAGCAGGTAGACAACAACATTGGCCTGAAAACACACTCCCTTGTTACGATACGAAGCCAAAGAGGTGAACAGGGCTCCTGGGAATGGAGCCAAAATATCCTAAATAGTGCAGTAGGCGAGTAGTAAAATTTGTTTATTGTTATTACCACTACCACTGACACTAAATCTATAACTTTTAAGAGGGTCGAAATGGCTAAAAATAAACAGTATAAAACAAAAATATAATCTAAAGCAATAAAATATAACTTACATTATGTTTATTATTTTTAACTAAATATGTTCAAAATATATAAATAGTTATATTATTCTTTTTTTTTAAAACTGAATAATTTTTAATGAAAGAGGATGATTAAAATCCCGGTGTGTGAAAGGTGGGACTGTTTACACTGTGTGTTTCGATGTCAATGGGAATATCTCAGAGAAGCTTCTCCTGAAAACATTCAGCTTCGTTGAACTCGGGTTCAGCATACCGGAGTCATTGACATTCACCCATTTACACTAACCCCAACTCAGGGGTTTCAAACCCGGTGTATCGACAACGGGGAAGTAAAAGCGGGGTTATTCCGGAAATTTAACATAATTATTACTTTAAGATGTCAGATTATAGATAAGATAGTATATAAAAATAACAGAGTGAAATACTTAACCAAGTGTATATCATATATATTGCTGTCTCTTATACACATCTTATATATATATATAAATAAATCTTATAAATCAACATTATCATCATTTTTATCATCATATAGTATCATGATATTATGATCACATTTTATTGTCATCATCATAATGAAAAATATCATATTTTGAAGAAAAATAAGAACACATAAAGTACTGATCATCTTTGGAGTTCAGTGAATATCCTGGTACAGTACTTACATCTGGCAGGTTGACAAAACCAAATTTATGAGACAGGATGGATTTGTTGGTTAACTTAACCTTAGCGATCACTGACTCAAATATGGTACAGAAACCAAAGTCAATATCATTGGGTTTGAGTTCAAAGTCAGAGTTTGTCACTACAGCATGTACGGTAAAGTGTACAGGAGAGGTCTGGTGGAAGAACAGACAAAAATTACCACAAGCAAACACATTGTTTTCATAATAATGTAATGCTGAAAACACATTTGAATTTTTTGGGGTTGTGCAATTCAGGTGGATTTTTAAATATCACTGTTTTATTTTGTTGTTTATATTTATAATTTTTTTATCTTGTGAAATTTTATGTAATTTCTTTTGTAACTTTAAATTATTTCTGCAATTCAGTTTTGGCTGCAACTGAATAATTTTATGTATGTTTGTTGTTTTTTTTTTAAATAAAGATGCCCTTTATACAATGTATTGCATTAATATTGAACTTCATTATGTTAAGCCAAAAAATAAGGTGTTTTTCCTACAAGTAGCTTTCATGCATTTTTGGACCTTCTTCAGATGAATGACATTGGCATGTAGCCAATGCCCACGTGTGCTCTGAGATGTTGCGCAGCAAAAAGTCCACCCGTTCTCCTGGGCTGTGGCGGCTCAAGGGTGTATTTTCTGAGGGGCTGAGCTGTCCGACAGGGGGATTTGAGCTCGTAGGCCCAAGCTGGGGGAAGGGTTTTAGAGGGTGTTCCCCCCACCCCAAATGAGATTTTTTAAAGGAGAGGAACCTCTAGATGGCCAGAAATTACATTCTCAGACAGTCACAGGCATGTTGGCGTGGGCCTATTTTTATATTTTTTTTAGTCCGACTGCCTGATGATCTCTGTCGGTTGCCGCCACTGCTCTTAGGCCTAGGGGTTAGTGTAGGAAATCATTGTAAACATGGGACAGTTTGTACGCTCATTCATCCCATTTCATTGTATTTCATTTTAAACTGGTTTAAATACTCATAGATAGGTTTTTTTTTTATGGTATATTTATATCATATTTATATTTGCAGAATTATATTAATTAAATGAAATTGTTGCAAGAGTATAATTCAATTTTACTGCTCTCAATGAAACTTTAATTTATTAGTTAATTATTATTTTTGTAAATGATAAAGAAAAAACTTTTGATAGGGCTTGCCAAGGCCAGCATCAGTGACCAAAAAAAAAAAAAATTACTTTTGATAACATTCATATTCTCCACATTATAAAATGATAGGCCATTTACTGGAATTGACTAACTAAACTGCCAAAGTTATGAGTAAAGTGTTAGGGCTTCTTTGTATTAAAGTATACAATACTGTCACTCTTACTCAGTTTATTTAGCAGCAGTATGGCAAGCCTCTATGTCATGGAATACCTTGATGTATTTTATTAAAATGCAATCTCAACTAATCATTGCACTAGCATAAAGCAAACATGTACACATTGATTGGTATATTGACATAAATCTAGTTCTACAATCATTTACCACTTAATATGGAATCTACTGACGTAGTTCCATATTTTGGTTTATGTTTGAACAGCCCTCCACATATAGCTTTAAGGTCCAATTCAGTCCAATGAACACTTCAGATATTTAACCCCGTCTGACCCAGTATTAGTCAGACCCTGCTCCAAAGGTCGAGATTTAAAATCTCTCAAAGCTTTGCAAATAGGCAAGTAAATAAACTTAATGCAACCATACTGTGTGGCTTATATCTTTGCATGCCTGGCATTATCAATGTAGCTTTTTAGCAAGAGGAGGAAGGAAGACATATTTTTAACAAGTTTAATTGTGTAATGTAAGTGATGTGCTTGATTTAATTTTCTGGGTTAAAATAATTCCAAGTGTATATCATATATATTGTAAATAAATATGAAATTATTCATCTTGTGTTAAACTGCTGTTATGTTGTTTTACATTAACTCTTTGTAAATTAGGATAATTTTCATAGTTTCTGCCAAATCCTACTATTTTTTGTATGAACGAAAAAAAACTTATTTATAAATTAGATGTGTCACCTGATCTGCAACTCTGATTGTCATTGGTGCTTCAAGAACACCTGTCTCTTGATCAAAATATTCTCCTGCTTCTTCAAATATGGACCTCCTATTACATCATCACCAGGGAAACAAAATTTAAAAAAAAAAACAATTATCAGTAAACAAATTGGTTTGAATTTCATAACCAACAGAACATACAATAAAAACAAAAACATAACATAGATATATGAGGTAAGTGTAGTTGTTAAATTGTTAAATTCCAAAAATGCCAAAAACAAAATAAATAACAAAGGACAGATGAGCACCTCGGACTCACTAGGCAACCGTGGTTAGTTTAAAGAGTAGGATTAACATGTCTGTTGGGTTAGATTAAGTATTTCATGTTTATGTTAAGGGCACAGAAGTCTCAACAATATGCACTCTGTAAGTCAACCATTTTGATTGTTATTATTAAAAAATGATGACACAAAAAGATTTTGAAAAAAAAAATTGCAGAATTTCAACAATCAGTTTATAAAGAGTCAAAATAAAATTTACCATATATTTCTATTGGTAGCAATCTCACATAAATTATCTTAATCACAAGAGTAGAGTTACACATCTGTTAAGTGCTCTTATTAAGATTACTTTACTTTCCTACACAACCTTATTGATCAGAATCCACTACAGACAATATGAAAGCAGTATGTCCTCATTCATTCTAAGTACCGTGTAAGACCAAGCATAGACCACTTCGATTTATTTATTCTTACACATAAATGTCTCGTTAATCATACAGTTTGTTGTTGCTATAATCCTAACTAAGAAACATCATTATATCACCAATGATTTACTTTAATAGAATTAAACCAAGGACTTTTAACTGTTACCATTTAAAAGTCCTTGATTAAACTCTAGCCTGGGACCTGCCATGATCATTCATTTTAAACACTTTTGGACAATAATTTTGTTTCCTGTCGTCAATATTTTCAGTATAACCTGATACAAATAAAAATTAATATAAATTATTAACTAGTATTTTCAATTAATGGTAATCCACTCAATACTTTCCACCCTTGACCAATGGTTTTTTTAAAAATTGCAGTAATTTCCTTCTCGTTGTCTCCTATTCTTGGCTTGATTCGAATTTTAAAGTGTATTTTATTATAAATCATATTTGATGTATTTCACTTATAATTTATATTTGGTATGAATTTTAATGGTATTTTTTTTTTTGGTAAATTCAATCTGTGCATTATTTTTATAAGAGTGCAATAAAAAAGAGAAAAAATAAATATTTTTTTTTAAATGTGGTGTTAAATTGAGTACTGTATATGCACACGTTAAAAAAGCTTCCATGAAAAGTAAGTATCCGTTCAACTCCCCCTCAAAACATGAACATAGAAGGCAAGAAGTACAATGAACACAAATTTTAATTTTTAGTTTATTTTGTGATTTTCTTTTTTCCTTATTTGTTTGAAATAATTACCTTGGAAGAAACTTGATTTGTGCTGAGAACTGTGACTGTGCCTGGATGTAGCCAGTCTTCGGCAACAATTCCAAATGGTTTTGCAATTCTTTGCAGACTTCAAACTTGAGACGCAAAGCAGTTTTAGCCCGGTTGTTCACCACAATAGCATCTTGATACAAACGGTCGAACATACAAATCTTTAGGTCAACATTTTCACGTTCAACCCACACTGGCACATCAATGGCTGTAGCAACTGACTTCACTGAAATCTTGGGAAATATTTAACAAAAATTCTACTAATAATAATTTTCCAACAACTTCACACGATTAGCAAAAATCATGCATGCTGACTCGCAGTTAATTAAGCCTGTTTTCCATTAGGCGAATTTATTTGCACGAACCAAAAACTTTGATTCGCTTCCTGAGCTCTGATTGGTTGCACATTTTTTCGCTTCGCAAAAAGTAAAAACAGTGCGAACTACTGATTTCGCTGAAGCGAAAAAATCAGATAGAAATGTGAATGCACATGAACCGACGCATTCAATTCGCTCAAATAAATTTGTCTAGTGGAAAAACAGGTATTAGCCATTAGTCAGCCATTGCTGGCGACTGTGTAAAGGCTTGCCCGCCGTGACATCAGTTTGCTGATTGTTGGTTGTTCATCATTGAAAAATATTTCTAAGCAACGTATCGTCTTGTCATCATCTACAATCGTGTCTAAGCCTGCCTCATTCATTAATAATCACCAAAAAACAAATAAAATAGGTAAAGTACCCATTTTCACTTATGGGTGGTAGAAAAGTGCTCTGGCTATAAGGAAAAAAACAAACATTAAAAATTCTCATACCGGTGAAGAATCTTCATCGTTGAAACGAATTTCAAAATCTGTGTCAACCTTGCCTGGTATAGTTGGGCTGAAAACAATCTCAAGTTTGATTGATGCAAACGGCCCTAGCACACCCTCTACAATCTCACCAACACCCATGCCATCAATGTCTTTAAATTCCAAAAGGTCAGACTCAGCAAACGTCACTTCAGTTTCTATAAAAACAATAGACAATACAAAATCAAATTGAATGGAGTGCAGTATAATGGAAATGTATAAAAAACAAAGGTGATGGTTGTAGTGTTAAAAGATATATTTCATGGAAAGTGTCTCCTTAATAGATGTGTTCCCTGAGTAGTAGTTTCCCGAAGGAGAATATACAGAAGTGAGGAAGAAGGGAAAAGTAGTACAGAAGAAAAGATAAAAAGAGTGCAGAAGGGGTGATGAATAGGAGTGGGTGCAAATAATTGCAGAAGAGGGAATGAAACAAGGAGTACAGATGAAAAGATGACTGTGAGTGCAGAGAAGTTGATGAAAAGGAATGTGTGCAAATACTTGCAAAAAAGAAAAGAACTAAAATGCCGCAGGAGGGAATGCAAAAGAATACATAGGAGAACACAAAACAAGTTTAGATTAGGGAATGAAGACAAAAAAGAATAGAGAGATGATTAAAAAAGTTTAAGAGAATGAAATTTACACAATTTACACTAACAATTAATGTCTACCCTTTTTATACCGACGTAAATGATAATAACGATAATAATTTATCTTTTTATGAATTGTATTTTAATGTTTTTTTATCTTTAGGGGTCATCCATAATTTTCAACATTTGCAAAAAGAGTACAAAACATATGCTTTTCTGTGACCCTCTCTCTCCCCCTGAAAGAGTAGGCAAAAAAATTTTGATTTGTATAATTTTGAGATCAACATTTTATCTTTTTCATAAAAAAAGAATAATTATGCCTACACTATCAACCACCTCCCCCCTAAAGTGTATGTTTTGTACTCCTTTGAAAATGTTGATAATTATGGATAATATCATTTTGCTGTTTTTATTTACTTGGTTGTCTTTGATTTGTGATTTTTGATGTTGTGTATATTGAGATTTTTGTGATGCACAGCATTTTAGTTTTGGCTGCTATTAGCAATTGTTTTATATTTTTAAACCTGAATAAATAAAAAAAAAAATGAGTCAGTGTCAATGGCATTAAAAGAGGTGAGCAGGAGGGAATGTAAAAAATTTTAAAGGATAAAAGTTTAGAAGATTAAAAAAAAAAATCAGAGAAGATTAAAAGAACAGGAGTGTACTAATTTAGTGCTGCGAACACAATACACAAAAAGGACAGATCAAACCTGTAGGATGAGGGTATATAAAATAGTTAAAATGCTGTATATTATATGATGCAAACAATAAATATAAGCCAACCTTCAACATGTTCTAGTCTTTTCCCATTCTGTTCAGTGAAAACTAGAGACTTATTACTCTTTGCTGACATTTCATTGGAAACTATCAGACCTGCTGGTTCCTGTACACTAACATCCTTCTCATTTTCTAAATCAAAATCCAAACAATTGTGTCAAACAAAACACTTGGATATTCAACATAGATTAACGCATATTCTACAATATTTATGACACTGTAATTTGTCTTTCTTAATAAATTTCATTCATTTTTTTTAAAAACTTTTTTGAGGAATTGAGAGAACAGGTTATTTTAGCCCTAGTCGCCTGAACTGGTGGTCACTGTGTGTGTACTGAGTCGTGGAGATCTTTTGGTCCCCTGTTCAATTCCCATCCCCGGTCTACTTGTATTTCAGCTTGAGGGCTGAAATTCAAGTTACGATAGCACACTGTCTTTCAGATAAGAAGTTCAGACTGCTGGTCTCATGTGCATTATGTCCCATGTGCATGTTAAAGAATGCAGTACATTCTTCCATAGGGGATTGTCAACCGGTGTACTGCCAAATCACCACCAGCAGGACTCCATTGGAAACATCTTCTTCAGACTTATTCACTTGAATCACTTGCAAGATTTTTTTTTGCTAGTATTTTTGGAACGTACCAACCATTGAGTACGAAAACACGACAGGTAGGACAAATCATCATTCCTATAAGATTATTCAAAACTAAATATAGTTTGAAATTAAAAGGCCTAAAATTTAACTCTTCTTTCCAGTGACACCCCATCTGACATCATAGGTCAACAACCTTTAGCCACAGAAGACTATTCTTTTCATTAGTGTAAGTGAATTTGTATTTTTCATTATGTTTTGTTATATTGGATGCACTGTATGTATGTGCCATTGTTAGGAATATGTTGCTCCAATACCTGAATACCCTAATCGCAGATTCCAAGTTGGACAAATTTGCAGGTGTGAGACATTTGTTATGAAAACTCCTCCCTCAGGGAGTCCCGCCACACCCCCCCCCCCCTTCCCACTACTACCAAGAAAACTGTTTTTCAAGATGCCCGGAAATGCATTGTTTGCCACTACAACAACACCACTACAAACTAAAAGTCTGATAAAATCTGTATTATTTTATTGATAAATTTCAGGCCATTCATATGAACCTATCACACTGACATTGGTAGGACACGCATGAAAACTCTCAGCGTGTACGATGTTCTTTGATCTTACCTAGTCCCATCTGATCGATAATATAATCTAGCAGGAAAGAATTGCACACCTAGAGAATTAGTTTAAAGATTCCCTAAATAAATAATTAAATGTTTATTGTCACAATTGAGGTATTTTGTATGTTGTAACATATAAAATAATTATATTTTAGACTTGACACTGGTTGCAACAACAGAAACAAATTAAAACAAGGTGATAATATATGCACAAAATAATTATGTGGCAACGATTTCAACATCAATAAAATATCATAATCTTCACTTACTGTCTGGTGTTTTAGCCTGGGCATCTCCAGCCCGTGATACAGACACACTCCCAGGGGCAGATGTTTGGTGTTTTAACTGCTCATCTAAAATATTGCCCCTGTCTCCAGGTGGAGACCTCTCAGTCACAGTCTAATAAAACAGACATTGAAAGTCAATTTATCATCATTTAAATACCTGTACTCCTTTTCGCCATTATATCAGCTGATGTCATCATCATCTCCATCAATTCATTAATGTCATATAATCATAACCATATTAACCTCATCACCACGAATATTATTTTATATTTATTATTTAAATTTTTCAACAAAATATTCAAAAAAATTTTAATCCAGATCAGATGCTACTTGAAAGTAAAAACAATATTTATACATATTACTATTATTATTATTATTATTATTATTATTATTATTATTATTATTATTAACAAATAAGTAGTTGAGGCTTATATTTGTGTACTATATCCTGGGCACATAAGAACAACAATTGGTTTGAGTTGTTAACCCAGGTTAAACATTAAATACAAAAATATTGAGCAATTTATTAAAATGTACCAGCATGGCGGAGTGTGGGTCGAGGGAAGAAATTTTCACCACCCCACCTCACTTGCCCATCAGACAAGCATGAATCCCCCAACCCTATCACTTGATGTTATGATGGGGTCATGGGAATACAAATATCAATTCACCTATCCAAACAAAGTTATCATGCTTGTCAATCCCTAAATTTGTGGTCTAAAAGCAACATTTTTGGCAATCCTAACCATGCACCACAACAAACTTCTGGATCCACCACCGGATTATACCACTATTTAGCAAAATGTACATAGTATTTTATGTTCAAAAATACATTATTAAAATTTTTACAACAGACAATGAAACGAAGACTTACAAATCCACCAAGGGATGTGCCAGCTGATGTAAGAGTCTGTCTTAAACCTAAAAAATAAGTTAAAATGCAAAGTAATATAAAAAAAATTGCTAAGTCTAAATTAACAAAATGCCCTGTTCATCAATACCTAATTATTGCAAAGACTACTGAGTTGTATGAAAATCAATATGTTCACAAAATAAAGATTTTTAAGTAAATTGATTAGACTATTATGGTTTTAACTTACCTGAGATTTTCAAGAACTGAAAGGTGGTTCCTTTTGCCCCTTTATTTGTTAAAGTAAATGTCCTCCTTAATTTCTCACCAATTACTTGGCAACCAAAGTCAATACAGGTTTTATCTACAGATAACTATCAAAATACAAATTAATTGATGGTTTAAAGATAATTTGGAGGAAAAAATAAATTATTTTTGAGATTTGATGAACTTGAATCAGTACTATCCATTATGAATCATAAATAAACTGAATGTTCATCTATTGTCCGAGAAAAATATCAAATAAAATTTCAAATGCTATCATTTCAATTACCCCTCTTAAATTTAAGCTCATTTTGACAGAACAATCATTAAACCTAATTCTTCTGCTAAGCCTTAAATCTTAATACAATTTGATAGAATACTTATATTTTCAGATTTAATCCTCTTTAATAAAAATCACAATTTACATTAAATTAGTTCATCTTAACTTTTTTATCTCTGATTCTGGGCGCTTTGTATTCTATGGAAAAGGAGCGATACTAAATGCGTGCCTACCTTACATTACATTATAAGGTAAACTCCCATACTTACATTACATTTCTTAGTAGTGCACTTGACTGGAACTGAAAAAGGACCAGTTTGAGCCAAAAATGACACCTTACCAATTAGATCCTCATTAATCTAAAGAAAATTACAAGCAAATTTTTAACAATTAATAATTCATTATTAATGATTCTGAATTAAATACAAAGATATGAAAATGTCATATTATTTTGTCTTCACATATAGAAAATGATTATCTTATAAAAATCTGTATTTCAAACATAAACCGAAATTTGTCTGTTTCATTACAAAATTTCACATATGAAATGGTAACAAATAAACAAATATTTCAATATTACAGATCTATAATAATACCATTGGTTTGAAAGTGACAAGCATCTCACAGCTCATACCAGCTGACATCTGGCCTGGAGGGTCAAACCTGAAAGAAGTAACACACAATTGTTTGAACTTCATTGAAATTTGAATAAAATATAATATTTAATAATATTAAACAAATACTTTCTATATTTTATATAAAGCCAGCTCAGCCAGCACATAATGAAGCCTTTTCGGATAGGACGTAATAACTTATAAAGCATCAAAACATACAGTGGTTCATAGATTATAGGCCTAGATTGATGTTTATTGAAAGAATGCTAGCCTAGGCTAACTTTGGTGGTATTTTTTTAACCAACACACAATTTTTACTGTAAAATCTGGTAAAATTGACGCTAATCTGCCATTTGGAGAACACTGCAAGACAAGGCAAGAATTGCAAATGCTAACTTAATCACTAAGCATTTCCTTTCACATGACAAACGACCATGATGTACTATATAAAAGAGGCTTAAGTGGAGTTGACGCTAGTCGGGAGGCTTAGAGAGTGGAGTTCTTTTTAGTACTGAGAAAAGCTATTCAATTCCATTCTACTAAAGTAAAACTACCACTGGAATGAAAATTTGATGTAAAGCCATTGGAATCAAGACCAATGAGTTCCACTTACATTATTTCTATGAAATCCTTCAGGTGTTCTGATAGGCTGAGAAGCTTTAGAAAGTTGACACTGTACGACACATTAGTTAGGATCACCTTCTTCTTGTATGATTTTAAAACATCAAAATCCTGATAACAAAATAGTACATTAATAACATTATAATAATGGAATTGCTTCTAAATAACTTCATCTCTAAATTTTAAATTTTTAAATTATTGCTTTTAATATTATATTAACAACAGACAGGTGGGAAAATTTGAAGACATACATTGAAAAAAATATATATAGAATGATAATGTAGATTTAAAATAACAATAATAAATTAGCAACAAAATCAGATTTACCTTGAAATGTATAACATCTGGCTTACTATAAAATGGACAACCTTTGAACTCTTTACCAGCAGCAATCTGCTTTTTGACAATTCCGGCTTTATGCTTGTTCAGGGCCTGTTGCATCATCTCTTTCTCCATCTTGCCTGGGTAGTTCAGAGTATAACTCTGTTCACCATCTTTTGGTACCTAAAAAACAAAAATATAAGCATTAGTAGGACTTACATTTTAGAATTTACAATGAACCAGGTGGAGGTGGGTGGTTTGGTATATACTATAGAGTACTATCAGTGTTACATCACGATACCACCTGATACTACTCCGTTGCTATCGGCAACACAAAATGTGTTCAACCAACACCATTTTCACCACTGACAAACCATTGATCCCAATTTCTAACGTAATTATTAAGAAGTTGTATTTAATTTTTCTTTGTAAATGTTAATTGATGATTCAATGTGTGTTCGATAACTAATATAATGCGAGCTTTTTCTGTTTTTAGTATATTTTGATGGTAAAATATTAGGTTTTAAAATGCCTATTCCAGATAGAATATTCAAAACCATTAAGAATATGAAGTCATTCAGGCGTAATGAACGGTAATCAACGTCTGGTTGACAACAGTGGGCGCCACCTGGTGTTGACGACACAACTGTTGTACTCTATGGTTTGACCAAACTTTTTGAGGAACGATTAAACAAACCATCCATCCCTTGCATCAAAACCATCAAAGTGATAATAAAATTCACCATTTCAAATCTGCAATGCTTCAGCTCCATAACGATTTCCCCCAACCAGAATATCTCCCCCCACCCCCACCACCTCTTCGTGAGGATTCTCGGTTCAGGGTCCTGTAAAAAGTTCATACAAGCTCAGCTTAGAAGTAAAAACAGAGCATTGTGTGATAATCATTTGTCAGAGAGAGTGATCACTGTGTAGAAAACGATTCCCTATTTCCCTATTGCCTGTATATCTATTGGTTTAATGGACAGTTTTAGATAATTTGCAGATTATTAGATTCCTATCTGCTGTCTAACCTTGTATGCTCTGTGCTCTTGGTTCCATAAACCATCAAATTCAGGCTTGGCTAAGCTTTCATCTTCAGATTCTTCAAATTCATCACTATCACTGTAGCCTCTGTGTCCAGTCATTTTCTTTTTCCTTTTGGCAAGCTCTTCTTCATCGAAAGACTGCTCTGAAGCTTCCGATCCATCAGATGCCTGAAACATCATTAAACAGATAAGATGAAGGAAACAACAAAGCCTACCTCACCAGAAAATGTGGGCCTAAACATAAAATAATTAATACACACCAGACTACCAGCTTCAATGTTTTCTTTTGCCACTGTGAATACTGATGACCCTCTTGAGCTTTGACTCTTGGCCAATGACTTCTTTGACGGTTTCGTAGTCGCAATTCTTGATGGTTCACGTTTTAAATCAGGCCAGAGTTGTGGGTACATTGTTTGCCGTTTCTTCATCTGTTGCTCTTCACGTAGAATTTCAGCAACTAACTGCACTTGCTTTTGCTTTTGTTCGGCTTCATACTGCCTAAAAAAAAGAAGTTCAAATTATTTACCTATGATAGGGAATATGGAACTTCCACACACACACACACACACACACACATACATTTCATTTCTGCATGGTAACACACAACACACGCAAGAGGCGATATTAAGGATTTTACTTCAAGCAAATTCTACACACACTATTGTTTGCATGTCTTCTTTTACTACATTTATAAGTGTGCCTATCTATGGGTAGGTTCCATGTAGTGGTAGCTCTAAAAGTTTGCCATCAGGAGTCCAAAAAATTTGACAAGGGGTCCAAATCAAGGAGCTTCTTATGGCTTCTGCTCACTGTCCCAGAGATGAACCCCTGGTGGAGGTCAAAGAGTCTAGCTGTACATGTGCTGTAGACCAACGTTCCATAAACTATGGTCCGCGGCCCAAATTATGGCCGCGAAACATTTTTGGAGGGCCACGAAGTTGTCTGGAAAAAAAAAATAACAAAGAGACATTTCATTACGGAGAAAATAGTTTTTAATAAAGCCGCTTCATTATTACAGTGAATGCGTCGCTTGCAGACGCTTAAAGTGCCATATGATGCGTGCTATTAAAGTTATAAGCGGTTTTTGTGTCTATGCCCCCTTGGGAGCTAGATACTATGTTAACGTCTAGTATTAACCCTGTAAGATCAAGTAAATCCGGTATGGAGGAATGATGGGATGAGTAATGAGCTAAAGATAAAAAATAAATATAAGACCTGTCTTAGATAAATCACTACAGTAAATAACACCACACATTTCTTGATAACCGAATGCCCCTGTAGATACTTTATTACTATACTGTACATACAGTAATACCTGTATAGTAAGGTAGTCTTTCAAAGTTGCGGAGTAACAGAGTGTGCGTAAAAGTTTTTGGAAGAAGGAGAAAGCTATGACGTGTGTGGCTGAACCATGTTTGGTTGAATCATGGTAGAAAAAAAAGAATCAACAATTGTCGGGGGGGGGGGGGGGGAACAAAA